TTTGATTTATTCGGCAGCCATTTATAATAGCGATAAATCAATCTTATGATTGGCCATTTGCGAGTCCAATCAGGACTCGTAACACCGGTCGCGCTTCTCTGATAATCTAGGACTCTAGCTCCGCCCTCTCTGCTGACGTTTCCTCAGTCGTGACATATTTTGTTGACGGCTGCAATATTGCAGTCGGATACAACGTAACCTCTTAACAGTCTTAACTGTGAAATAAAGTCTTCCATAGTTCCATGCTCGATCAAAAGCCAATCAAAAGCTTCTACTATAGCGCCATTTGCGGCTAAACAGTGCGTTAGACGGTTGACTGGTGATGTCATTTCCGATTACAAATTTCTTACCCCCACCACCGATATGCTTTCTTCAGTCGTCCTCCATGGTTATGTCCTTATGTCTATTGTCTCTTTATTCATACTTCATGGTTTGAACTTAGCCGGTAAGGTTAGATATGATATAAAGAGATGATACCAGACATGCGTAAAAGAAGTTGATGGAGAATGTTAGTTTATTAATTATAACATTAATGACAAAAACAAAATCTATGGCGTCTATCTGTCACGTGCGCTGTCTGTTTATTCTTGCGACGTGTCATGCCGATGACTTGCTTTTTAAAGTATAGAAAAGTTCGTATGTTGATATAAATTGAAGTGAAATTATCTATTACAATGAATAAAATAAATATATCCTCGAACATTGACTTAGACGACCCAAAATTTCGTATTAGACCATATCAACAAATTGTGGCTTCTTGCACTGGAGCTTTTATTACATCGATTTTTGGTAAGTTTGTATGCAAACAATATTACTGAATAATTATATAATTTATGTGACTTTTGTTTTCTCAGTAATATTTACATAGTATTTTTATAAAAATGTTTATTATTTTGGATATAAATACATTCTGTATAGGTACTTAGTTAAGGATTAGAGTATTGCCAATATTTTCAAAATGTTATTTTGAAATCATATCAGCTTATGAAAACTAAATTATATAAAATTATTTTGTATGCTGTTGTATTCTTTTGAAGTTAAATATAGTTTTGTTATCTTTTATTTTTTATGTGTAAAAATTATATATATATATATATATATATATATATGTTTTAGTTGCGTATGCATTTTTTTGTAAATAAAATTTTGAATGTTTACATACTTTTTCTTATGTTTTTAGTAACTCCGTTGGATGTGGTTAAAATACGTCTTCAAACACAGCAGAAAGCAATGCTTTCGAATAAATGTTTTTTATATTGCAATGGTTTAATGGACCACTTATGTCCTTGTACTAATGGTAAAATGCCTGAATGGATGAAGAGAAATGGAAGGTTTAATGGGACAATTGTATGATACTATGACACAATTAAAAATTTCTACTTTTGTATTTAATACATTATATTAATTTGATTAATATATTTGAAATGTGAAATTATATCAATCTTACTTATACAGCTTATACTATATATCTAAATAAACTTTTCTATATTTTTTTATCAAGTATCTTTATTATGTTGATAAGATGTACTAAAAACTTTTTTAATATAAATATTTATGAATATCAATAAATTTTAATCAAGTGTCAAGATTTGTTGCAAGGTTTTTTTCAAAATAAAAAAAACATGCTGACTAAAGCATATATATTTACCTAAATAAGAAAAGAGTTTTTGATACATTCTATCAATGTATATTATCACATGTAAGCATACAAAAAAATTAATTTATTTTAATAAAAAATATAAAAAGAGATTTATATAATTATTTGCTTCTGATATCAAAATATAATTTACAGTGGGATATAATGTCGTAATACATAAAAAGAAATCTTAATACAATGTTAATGAAATCTGTTAGTTTTATTAATTTTTTTACTTTCAGGATGCTTTACTAAAAATAAGTAAAACAGAAGGTATAACATCATTATGGAGTGGCTTGAGTCCTACTCTTGTTCTAGCTGTTCCTGCAACCGTCATATATTTTGTTTCATATGAACAGTTAAGATTGTATCTTAAGGTATCTTAAATATTAATATTTTTATTATAGTCATAATTTTTTTAACTTTTATTTATTTGATAATGTATGATACTTAAGAATTTTAGATAAAATATTCAATATTTTCATTTTTTAGGACACATACAACAGTGAATTTAAAAAGAAGAGAACTAATGTGGAACAACCTTTCTGGATTCCTATATTAGCTGGTGGCACAGCACGTATCTGGGCTGCGACACTGGTGAGTCCGTTGGAGTTGATAAGAACAAAAATGCAATCACAGAAATTAAGTTATGCAGGTAGGATAAATTAATATAACATCAAATTAAATTGTAATGAAGCTTAACATAAAGTTTTGGTAATTTTAAATATGCTTTATATGTCCTAGAAATAATGCAAACATTAAAAACAGTTATGAAATATAGTGGTATTTCTGGCTTATGGATGGGATTGAGTTCAACTCTTCTTCGTGACGTTCCATTTAGTGCTATATATTGGTTAAATTATGAATCTATAAAGAGACTGTATAGTTCGTACAGCTCACAACAAACTTTTACTTTTAATTTGACAGCAGGAGCTATAGCTGGATCTGTATGTATTTTATATAGAAATATGCTACAATAGTTTATATATTTTAATGTTTATGTTATATTATATTATAAACATTATTGCAGATAGCAGCATTTTTCACTATTCCTTTTGATGTAGTAAAAACACACAGACAAATCGAAATAGGTGAAAAAGAAATTTATTCAGGTAAATACATACACAAAATTTGATAAAATACAATTACAATACAAATTATAAGTACAATTATATATATACATACACGCGACGCACGCGTGTGCACATACACGCACACGCACATGGGATGTCCGGTACTCAATGGTTGCGCTCCTATAGGCAGATACACAGGCTAAACTAAGTCGAAAAGATCTCTATCATTCTGCAATCTTCGCAATAGTTATCAAGACATTAATCGTTAAAAAAAACTCTACTCCAAGCATACAAAAAAGTATCGTACATTACATCTTTTCTAAATCAAAAATATTATTTAAACACATAAAAGTTGTCCAAAAACAAATTGAGATCAAGTTGCCAAGTATTTGATTAGATATAGAGAAAACATTTTTTATTCCAAATAAATATTTTTTAAATAAATCATTTAAATCATCCAAAAGTATATGCAGCAAAAATTTAATGTCATTGTCTTTCCAAATAATTTTAAATTTCAAAATAGGCTTAAAGTTACTAAAATTTCCAATGATTTAGGAAAGATGTAATATACGATACTTGTTCATATACTTGACGTAAATTTTTTTTTAATGATTAGTATCTTGATAACTATTGCAAAGATTGCAAAATAGATCGGAAGAGCACA